TATGTATGTTTTTCTGCTTTAATTATCAGCTTTTCATCGACTCAGGAAAAAGCCTAAATTGGAAGATTCTGATTGGTCAGTCATAACAAAGTACTTCAGACAGCTGTGTCATAATGAAATTAAATGCCGCTCCACCTTGCCAAGATCTCCTAAAATGTTCTGTTTGGATCTTCAACCGTTTTAAGACCGTCTAGCACAAAGTGATGTTTGAAGTAAATGCTGTTCTTGTACTTTTCTGAAAGGATGTCTTTAATAAGGTAATCTCTTTGATTAGTTTCATTCCATTAAGATGTTGCAAACACCTAAATGTCTTTCCAGGGAAATGCAATACTTTAGATTTAGTATTATTAGTGATATTTGCATTGCTATTGCTCATACTAGAGATTAGTGACTCGTCATGCACCGTTTGTGTTGAAGTGAGGTTGTGCTTTTATTTTTAAGCGACTACTACTGAGCTGGTTATAATTGCGTTGCATCTCGATCTAATCTTGACCTTTGTTTGCATGCAAAGGACAATTTACAGTAGGTAAAACCGGTAGCTATTGCTTAATGCATTATGCAACACTCATGCAAAACTTCTGGTAGAGACTTTATCATGCGTAACCGTCTGTGCAGTTTTCCAGAGACGAGTGACAAGAGAACCATAAAAGCCTGAGTTGTCATGGCGACGTATGCTGTCATCTAATTGAAGAGAGATCGACGTATCAAGCACAAAGGCCCCATAGGACTTTTGACTTGAGCGGTAAGCATAATGCGTAGAGCAGTAATGAATATACGTCTGTCTTGAGGTTCAGTGATGATGACGGTTTGAAGATTAAATGGGAATGTGCTCTAATAATGTCTGCAATTACATACAAACTATTGTACTCATATAAAGGGTGTGATGCAAATTATTTGGATCTCATACAATGATTTACACTTTGTTTCCCCCCTAAAACACGTGAAAAAATCCAACAGATTTACACTGAAGGAGGGACCCAAGCCATGTCTAGAGACACTGGAATATCACAGAAACTAGATATTGGAGTCAGTTATTTTGGCAGAAAACTTTTAAGTGAATGCATGTCAAATTTGCAGTATAGTCAGTTAGGGAATTCAGCAATAAAAAAGAATTGTAAAAGAGCCACAACCTCTTTCTGTGTGGTGACAAGTGGAGAAGTTAGTAGTCAAAGACGAGTTACGCAAAACCTGTAGTTCCTTCATTAGAGCTTTTGTTTTGCTTTGGATCGTCTGTTGAACATTATTGTCTGAACAATCGACTTGCAGGTACGCCTGAGCAGTGCACAGCATATTGAGCGGCCGTACATCTCTCCCTCGCAGCTGTCATTTGCATCAAATTAAATACGGCGTATAGATGTGTGGATTCATAAGCCCTGGTTTTCGTTCCGCTGATGAGAATTGATTTGGATATTGCTTTTCAATGCCGCGCCAAAAGGTGCATTTCATATTTATCCAACTTCACTCAGCAAATTGAACTCAAGCGATGTTAGGAAAGGTAATAATGTGGAAGATGAACATCGTAAATCCTTCTCATTCCGCTCACGCTGTTTGGACCGAGGCCGGTATTACGTTGTATAGAGGAAGAACAAAATGGCCTGTGAAAACTGAGACTTATCTTACAGAAATCCAGTACTCCTCCCAGAGGAACGCCCCAAACGTTCCCTCAGGATCAGCATTGTTCACTTCCACATGGCCCGATGCCAGTACATCAATTAAAGAGACTACAGAGGGAACGTCCAGTCTAATATACAGCAGAGTCCAACCGTCTGAGAACACACTGATAATCTCATTTAAACCTGGAGCAAACAGAAAATTCAAGGATTTTAAAAAGTGTTACATGAAAGAAATATTTAAGATCTTACATTGTGATTCTACTCTCAGAATATTTCTTTAAAAAAAGAAATATATATAATATATATACAGTTTTTATTTATTTAATTTCATATATATATCTACATATATATATTTCATTCAACGATGTCACAGACTTGGGGTAAAATGGTTGGTAAAATGGGTTTTTTATTTTCTTTTCAGAGCTGAAAATGAGCACTCTGCATGGACATACTCCTAAACCTCATCTTTCACAGAAGAAAGAAATTCTTACATGTTTGAAACGACATGAGGGTGAGTAAATGACAGCAGAATTTCCTTTGTTGTGTGGCTGTTCCTTTAACTGTGAAATTTATGAAGTTATAAAGGAAGGATGTGGAAGGTCTGACATGCTGCACATTATGGCTAAAAAAGAAAAAAGGCTCAGAATGACTGCCAGTTTCTCTTCCTCTTTCATCACAATGACATGAAAGATTTTTAAATGCTTGTAAACAATGTTGTTTTAAGTGACTGAGGTCAATATCTAGAAAGCAGACTTGTGATGGATTTTAATGATAGCACGAGACATAACAAATTAAACAATTTCACATAGTATTTATATATATATGTATATTATATTATTTATATTATATATGTATACCATTCAAATGAAATTTTTTTTGCATGTTTTTTGAAAGAAGTCTCTTTTGCTTAACAAGGCTGCATTTATTTGATAAAAAAATACAGTAAAGCTGTAATATTGTGAAATATTACTACAATTTAATTGAACTGTTGTCTATTTAAATATATTTTTAAATGTAATTTTTTAGCATCATTACTCCAGTCTTCAGTCACATGATCCTTTCGACATTTCTGATTATTATCAATGTTGAAAACAGTTGTGCTGCTGAGTATTTTTGTGGAAACTGTGATGCAGTTGAGGATTCTTTGATGAATAGAAAGTTCAAAATCTATCCGAAATAAACATTTTTGTAACATTTAAATGTATTTACTGTCACTTCAATTTAATACATCCTTGCTGAATTAAAGTATTAATTTCTTTCTTTCAAAAAATAGTCTTACTGACCACAGACTTTTAACAGTAGTTTATTTACATTATTTATTGATTTATCAACACCAAGACTGTTGGTGAGATTTAAAATATATATATATATATATATATATATATATTTGATTTCAAAAACAATTTTTTTTAAAATATATATATATATATATATATATATATATATACATTATATACAGATAAAAAAAATATATATATATATACACTGTTCATTGAAACACATGTTGACTATAGTGGGGCAAGTTGTCATAAAAAGTTAAGAAACACAAAACAAATAAATGTATAAAAATATATATCCTACAGATATTTTAGTAATAATTTGTATACATATATACCATTTCATAAATACATTTATGAAAAACAGTTCAGCCTCTTCATTCTACAGTTGGTCTTTGTTTTTAGGTATCTCAGAGCAGTTTTACATTTTTTTTGTTTAGTACAAATATGACAGCACCTAGAATTACAGTGTATTTTGGATGTTAAAACTCAGAAAAATATTCTAATTTAGAAGCAAGGCATATGCAAATTCACTGCTGGATAATTTTTTTTAACTTTTGACTTCTAGCCTTGCTTACTTATTGTACTTATTGTACGTGATGGCAGACTAATGCTAACCGTCCTGATTTGCGATCAGAACGACTTGTGGTTTTATTTTCATGCTGCACCTGGCGGTGCTGTTCGAGTTGCTGCTGACGTTGTTATCCAAAGTCTGGCTGCTCTGATCTCCCTTCTGCTCCGAGCTTGTCAGCTTCATCAGGATGCTTTTATATGCCATCTTGATCTTAGGGACCTTGAATGCGTACACTATGGGGTTAACGGCGGAGTTAGCGTGAGAGAGGAGGATGCCGATGTAAAAGGCGACAACGGGCACTTCTGCACTTGTGTAGTAGTCCAGCGCGTTCATTATGTGCAGCGGGAGCCAACAAACGACAAACAGAACCAGAACCAAAGCCAGAGAATTGGCCAGTTTCCGCTCCTTATGGTAAAACGACCTGGACTCCACGGGGCGCCCGACTCCTTTTCTCAGTTGTTTGGATATCATATTGAAGAGTAACAAGTACAGGATCATCATGATGATGGTGGGTGTAAGGATGCAAGCGAGGAAGTTGAAGTTGACCATGTAGGACATGTCTATAACCATGATGAAACGACACGTAATAGTGGAGTTTTCAGCTGTTGTGGTGTTTTTGTTGTGCCATCCGAACATGGGGATGAGACCTAGTATAAAAGCAGAGAGCCAACATACAGTGACCGCGGCCCACAAGTGCTTCTTTTTGACTGCTCCTCTGTACCTGAAAATTAAAAATTTAATTAATACAATATAAACAATATTTGTATAATATTAATAATAAAATTATTATTATTATTATATCTGTACATTACATTTTAAAAGTTTGGGGTTTGGTAAGGTTTTTTCTAATGTCTTTAAAAGTCTCTTCTGCTCACCAAGGCTGCATTTATTTGATCAAAAGTACAGTAAAAACAGTAAGCTAATATTGTGAAATATTATTACAATTTTAAATAACTGTTTTCTATCGTAATATATTGTAAAATGTAATTGATTGCTTGATCAAAGGTGAATTTTCAGCTGAAATCAGTTGTGCTGCTTCATATTTTTGTAGAAACTATGATACATTCTTGTTTTCAGGATTCTTTGATGAATGGAAAGTTGAAAAGAACTCAATTTATTTGAAATAGAAATCTTTTGTAACATTGTAATGTAAATGTCTTTACTGTCACTTTTGATCAATTTAATGCATCCTTTGCTGAATAAAAGTATTAATTTCTTTTAAAAAAATTAATAATTTCTTAAATTATTTAGCATTAAATTTTTAAACAAATTACAGACTCCAAACTTGGAATCAATGGCGTCATGAAAAGTGGGCATTTCAATACTTAAAGATCATATTAAAAAGTAAACTGTCATTTTCAGAGGCAGTGCAAGTTATAGTTTGACTGAAGATTATGAAAACATTTCTGTGAAATAAATACATTCTTAATGTACAATAAGTTTTTAAATGGGGTCATTTAGATTTCATGTTGACCTAAAGAAGGTTTTTGTTTCAAGTTGCATATTACTCAGTATCATGATCATCTCTAAGGTCTGAAAACATTTGCTTTCCTCCTTATCAGCAAGCTTGATCAACTTGGCAACCACACAAGTAAGTTTTCAAATATGCATTGCAAAAAAAGCTTGACTATTAAATGTTCAGACCTGAGAGGGTTATAAACACGCAGGTATCGGTCCACAGCGATGGCCAGCAGGGAGTGAACGGAGGCCTGGGTCAACACAATGACCACACAGCTGATGAAGAGGCAGCAGTAAAAACTAGTCTCCAAGCGTCCATCAACCACCACTGCGAGAGGCACAGCCACCGCTCCCACCAGAAGATCAGCCACCGCCAGAGACACGACGAAACAGAACGTGGTCTGACTCAAGGCACGGCAAGACCACACCGCCCAGATCACCAGCACGTTCCCCAGGCAGCATCCTACAGCGATGAGCACCTCCAGGGAAGTATAGATCACCTTCTCACCATCAGCCATGACGAGAATAGGCACTGGAACTCTACAGGAACTTGCTTTAAGTAGTGGTGGTTTAAATAGGAAGTTGTCTTGACATGCAGAACCAAACATGCTCACACATAAGCAAATCATTTTTTGCAAGATCATTACTTTGGAGTGACTTAAATATAGTGTTTTTTTCTCTAAATTTAAAAAGAAATAAAGAGAATGTTTTAGAAATTTGAAAAATAAATGTTTAAAAATAAATATTCAAAATATTTTTTAATTATATTTAAAAATTAAGATGATATACTACCATTCAGAAGAAAGATTTTAACTTTTTCTTTCAGCAACACATTAAATTAATCAAAAGTGACAGTAAAGACATTTATAATGTTACGAAAGATTTCTTTCAAATAACTGTTGCTCTTTTGACCTTCCTATTCATCTAAGAATCCTGAAAAAAAATATATAACAAAGAGTGAAAAATTGAAGGGGGTCTGAATACTTTCCGTACCCACTGTATATCACAGTTTCCACAAAAATATAAAGTAGCACAACTGTTTTCAACATTGATAATAAGAAATGCTTGTTTCTATTTCAGACATAAACATATTTTAGAAATGTTAATGTTTATATTTTTAAATGCATTAAAATAGTTATTTTTAAATTATAATATTTCACAATATTAATCTTTTTACTATATTTTTGATCAAATAAATGCAGCCTTGGGGACCATATATAAGAGATTTTGTTCAAAAATTTTACCAACCCCAAACATTTGAACTGTATATGATAATGCATTTTTTTTTAGGTCATTAATTCGGCCACTATTTACATTTACATTTTTGGCAGATTGTTTTAGCCAAAGCAATTTACATTGCATTCAAGGACTTTATCAATTCATTCCTTGCGAATCAAACCCATGACCATAGCATTACTAGCGCCATGCTCTGCTGTTTGATCTATATTTATAAATATCATGTGCTCTAATTTCTTTGTCGGCACCTAAAGCAATACACCCCTATAGTGGTGTGCCATAAAATTGTGGCTAAGCTCGTGGCTGGTTAAGCAGGAAGCTGCTGGTTTGATGATTTCAAGTGAGTCAACTACAATCATTGATGTTTGTGCTCTGGAGCAAGGTATAAAATTGAATTCAAAATAATCAAAATTGAATTCAAACTGAAATGATATCTCTACCTCTGAAACAAATTTTCCTTTCAACTGACGTCACCCTGTCCATGCTGGCAAGTAATGATTTGAAAAACAAGTGTTAGTATTGGTATATCTCCTCTAACCTATCATCTATGTCAGTCATAAGTAGTAAGTTCATTTTATTTTATTTATTTATTTTATGGTGGTTGTTTCATAACTGTCAAGCCTTCTGTTAGCAGAAATGCGACATTTGCAATTCACCCTAGAACAAAAATAGGATTAAGAAAGTTTCATTTGAACTCATACTTCTCTATAACAGTTTCCACTTATAATGACTGAAAAACTTTCAATGAACTAACCTTTAATTCAATTTCAAAGTCACATTTAGCACTCCTCCATGTCAAGATGACTGAGATGGCCAATCAAATCAAAGAATGTGGATTCCACTTTTAGACATGCACTCGCAAACTTCCCTAAGCACTTCCCCTCGGGGGAATCCCCGCTGCCATTTTGAACTGCATTCCACTTCATGAAGTGGACGATGGGAGTTTATGTGGATAAATCCTCGCCCCCTCGATTTTGACCTATATTTACACTTCAGTTAGCTCCATAGACCACAATATAACACAATCATGACATCATCGCAGATCGCATTTAATTTATCCCCACGCCAAATAACTAATAAATAGGACATTGCAAAGCAGCGCCAGTAGTAGGCACTCATGCAACGTAATCAATGATGTACATCCGAGTAAACGAGATGGAGGGAAGTTAGCGAGTAAAGGGCATAAAAAATGAACTGGAATGCAGCCGATTGGGATTGGGATCAGACGGTTTTATCCTTACTGCAGGCGGGAGTGGGTGGTCAAAAAAAATATAGCGCAGGTCCCGCCATTCCACGATTTGGTGCATAACAAGGATGTTGAAGTTACATAAGCACTAGGCTAACTGCAAGCACTAGGCTAACTGCAGTAGTCGGTATTACACGGACGGTGCATTCCAAATGGGATATATCGCCCTCCGAAGGGCACTTCAGAGTGAAAACAATCATGGCCGCCATATTGAAAGGTCGTTCCAGATCGAAGTGCTCAAAACTGGCCACTTCAAAGGGCCCTTCGGAATGAAGGATTTCGAAGGGTACAACTGATGGACACTTTGGGCCCCACGATTCTTTGCGCAGATTCTTTCCATGATGATGGCGCCTCTGTGTGGGCACGGGATGATCACGCAGAAGGGCACTTTAAGAAACAGTTGTTTGGTCCCCTACACCCTTCAGCCCTTCGAAGCTCTCACTCCGGAGGGTAAACCCTTTGAAGGGATTAGGGCATAGGGATGAGCCCTTCAGAATGGAACCATGGCCGTGGCCAGGGTTGAAAATGAGTGAGGTCTGGGGTGGGGTTAAGAATTGTTCTATTTCAATAACTCCTACAAATACAACTCATTATACACACTATAAACACTTATAAAGGGACAGACATGTAGATGTTTGTGAAAGATGTTTTCTCTGTTTTGGAGGCATACCATATTTTTTGTATCAAAATTTGTTAGTATTTTAGGTTAGGGTGGATAATTTTATCAGTTGTTTATTAATCATGCAACAATACATATTATTGCTATAGTTTTCATTAATAATCAATGATGATAACTTTGTCTAGTGCTCTTTATTAATGTTTTTAGCATGACTTTGTGAAAATTTAAAGGGGTCATATGATGCAATTTCAATTTTTCCTTTCTCTTTGGAGTGTTACAAGCTCTTGGTGCATAAAGAAGATCTGTAAAGTTGCAAAGACTGAAGTCTCAAACTCAAAGAGATATTCTTTATAAAAGTTAAGACTTGTCCACGCCTTCCTAAAACGCCTCGTTTAAACACGCCCCCACATGTCTACGTCACTGTGTGGGAAGATTTGCATAACACCGCGCAAATGTTCACGCAAAGAAAGAAGGCGTAACTTTTATTCTCGCTGTAGTATTGTTGTTGCCGCCGC